GAAAAGAAGAAGAAGAAGAAGAAGAAGAAAAATTCAGGAGAAATAAAGGTTCAGGGAGTGAGAGAAGGGTGGGGGGGGGTAGAAGGAAGTTGTGAAAGGAAGAAGCTATAGGTATCCGGACTACTTAGTGTAGGTGTCAGGCCCCTCAAAATGAATGGGAGAATTTTGGGGGATGAACTCTTGGGTGTGTTATAACAGGATTATAGAATGGAGATATTTCAGGAAATGTAGATATAGAGATAGTGGGGATAAAGATGAACGATAGGTTCTTGTGAACACACACATATATTTATATAGATGAGCTTATTTCACAAGTGGATTGCCAACTTTTAAAGCAACATCTTTTTCCCCTTAAGCTGTTTATACTCTTCAAAATGAAATCCTTGAGAGAGAGAGAGAGAGAGAGAGAGAGAGAGAGAGAGAGAGAGAGAGAGAGAGAGAGAGAGAGAGAGAGAGAGAGAGAGAGAGAGAGAGAGAGAGAGAGAAATGTGCACCTTTTCTATAATGACCGCAAATCCGGATTTTTCCGAATAGTCATAATTATCGACCATCATAAACGTACACACAAAAATATAAATAAATAACATTTTTTTTTATATTGTCAACTGTATATGGGTGATTCTCCTGAAAGGGACCACTTCACGTGTCTCCAACATGAGGTTCATTATTTAAATTAATTTTTCATTAATATTTTATCAAGTTTAAATTTTTTGAAAAATTTATTTATAATCTACGAAGATTTATCTATCTTTATATAATCTTCTATTGCTTATATTTAAATTTCTTCCTATTTAAAAAACATATTTAATTTTGTCATCGAATTTTGGTTAAACAGAATGTATATTTTATAATTATATTTTAACGTATTTAACCAATTTCAACATATTTATGATATATATCAAATTAAAGTTTAGAATATAAGGATTATTTTTTACTTACATTTGTTTAAAATAAGGTAAAAAAAGTTATTTAAATTATTAATTAAAATAGTATTATCAATGAGAGTAAAAATTAAATTCATCTCCGAAGCCTCATTTTCTATATAATAACATCATATTTTTTAACGTTTTAAACATAATATGTAATCGATGTGAAAATATTTGATGATTAAAACTAAAAATATTGTTTAAAAAATTGTAATATTTTTAAAATTAGAAAAAATGAGAATTTTTTCATTAAATTATCAATTCATCTCCGAAACCTTTTTTATATTTAGGCGTTTTCTTTTGTTTTTAATTTTTTAATTATTGTTTTGAAATATTTAACCCTCAAATTAAATTATTAATTTAATAAAAATAAAATATACAAGCAAAAAGTGCAATAAATTAAAACATAACAATTTATTATTTAAAAAAAATATTCCTACCGAGTTTTTTTTACAAAATAATTAATTTAAAAGTTATAATTAATTATACTTAACCTCTAGAACACATGATAGTAAAATGTTCCTGGAGGTCTTATTTCTGAAAATTAATTTTGCGCAACTTATATTTTTATCTTTAAACATTTTCTAAACTTATTTATGAAAGAAAAGTAACAAAAAAAGAATAATTTGATTTTTTGGAAATTCAACCGAAAAAGGGTCCCTTTCAGGAGAATCACCCATATAATAATGAGAGAATTTTCAAGTTTTAATATAACAAATGTACAGAAAGAAGTCTGTATTTTATTTATAAGAATAGAATTGTAATTAATAACCTAGTAAAATTTAAAATATAGAAAATTAATTTTAAAAATACCTTAAATTTAAGATATAAATCGTTAACAATACCATAAATTGTTGACTTGATACATTGTTTCAATTAAGAGGAAAAATACAGTATAAATCACTAACTAAACTCACTAACCTATAATTTTGAAGCTCCACCTATATTTTCAATTAAATAAAGAAAAAAAAGGAAAATTGTGTTTTAGACTTAAAATTATTGTCTACAGGAATTTTTTTTGACCTTTTTCTCTGTTTTCTTCGCTTTCATTCTTATTTTAGAGAGAGAGAGAGAGAGGGTGAGAAAAGAGAGTCTCCTGACGTGTGAAATTTGTGCATCCTGTTTGAAAAATTTTTCGAGACGGTATCCCCAAAATTTGACACACTTTTCTTTTCTTTAAGAAAAATAACACCATCTAATGGTGGTGTTATTATATACATTATTATATATCCATCCCTCTTCATAGTTTTACAAAATTTCTTTTCATGAAAAAATGTTTATCTATAGGTATAATATAAAGATTATACTCAGTATGTATCCATTCAAATACAATTCTTTATATTATCTTTTCTTTTAAGAACCAAAATTGCCTATATACATTCCCTTAATACTATATTGATTTTCTTTGACCAATACAAAACAAGTCAATATAGATTTCGAAAATTTAGTTTATTTTATAATTTTTAAAATAATTAAAACAGAATTTGAAGTCTATATATTTAACCCCATCACGTCAGAGTTTTGGGATAACCTTAAAAGACCTAAAATTTGACCTTAAAATTTTGAAATCATCAAAAATCATCATTTTGAAATCATCTCAGACTTAGAGATGTGAATTTTTCTTAATTTCAAAATTTTGGGGTCGCAATTATGTCAAATGTCATGATAGGGTTAAATAAACTTCAGATTCGGCGACTGCGACCCAAAAAAACATAAAATATGTCCTGGTCAGATCAAAAGTTATAAAAACATCAATTTCTTCTTCTTCTTAGTAATGTTATTTTTTATAAAAAAATTAATTCCATATTGAACTTTTCTTTAAATTTGGGGAAAATATTCTCTAATTTTTAAAATTAAAAATATTGTTTTAAATTATAATAATGAAGTTTTTATACAAGTATATATTTTCTAATCTCTGACATCGACAAGTAATTATTCTAATTAAGTGGTAGCCACGCCCACTTTAGATATGTGAAAATTTATGCCGCAATCAATTACCCCCTCTCTTTTTTTATACATATGTATATATATATATATACCTCGTTAGACATAAAGAACTTGATCCAAAAAAATTTTGGGCGCATTTTTTATTCATTGGTATCGGTGATTTATGAAATTACGCCTGTGAACGAAACGATCTACATATATATAAACTCGGGTGGTCGATTTTATCGCCTTTATAAGATGAATTTATGGTTTTTTTTTTTGGAATTCTAGTTGACTCATTGGAAATTTTCTCTTTTTTTTAATGAACGATAAATAATTTATTTATTATAGTGGGAATAATTATTTCTAGTTTCTAACCTTAAATCAGGTGAAGAAAAAACAAAAAATATTGTTTTGAAATTTGTTGATTTAAGTTGTCAAAAATGCTTGAAGGAATGTATATATATTATATGGATAGGGGGAAAAATTGTTTAATTTTTAAACCAAGAATTCTGAGATCCGCATATTTGAGAACGCTTTTGCCTCTTACTTCTCATTTCGCTTTTAAGTTCCTCTTTTATTCCCCTCATTCCCTTTGTCCAATGCGCCGAGTATATAACAATGGCCGCCCTCTAATTATCGAAAGACCGCGACACTTTAAGAGTTCCCAAGACCATCTTGGGACTCCATTTCGTCGGTTGCTCTTTTCTTTTCTGAAACTCACTTCCTTTAACTCTACTATATATATGTACACTTACAAACATATAAAATGATTATTTGTATAAAAATAATATAATTAATATAACATTAATTAAAACGTGGAAAACATAATCTTATAGATGTGAATTCACATAAAAATAGAATTATTATAACTTATGAAATAAAATATTTGACGCTGGGGGGATGCGAAACCTACTAACACCTTAAAGCATATAAATTCTAAATCCGGAACGCTGACCACTATACTAATCACGAACTTAGAATTTTCAATTTTTTACCACATATATACTAAAGTGTCCAGTCAAAATGTTGGTATGGAAATATCACAATGCCATAAATTCAACTATAATCGAGTCATACGTTGTTAACAAGACGACATACGAAACGAATTAATATATATTTATATATAAATTATAGTATAAATAAGTGTAAATCGAAATCGCAGTCAAGTAAAAAGTCAAGAATTTAGAAAGTAAATTACAATTTAAGTACATTTAAATAAATTATATTAAAAATAAAGATAAAACAATGTTGAATGGAGAAGTGGAAGCAAAAGCACATATAAAATATTACAGAGAAAAATATGCAATTTCTGTCATTATTGAGACATTGAACGTCACCGGAGGTCGTTATTATACTTCGATAATTTTTATTTTTATTGTTCTGTGGCGGTATTACTCTTGACCGCGCGCAATCAAGGTACCTTATGTCCAATTTAATGATCCATAAATCGAAGCTTCTCTTTTCTTTTACAAACCGTTATTGTACATATAGATATAGAAATTCTTATACTTGTTATATATATATATTTACGTTCCCACAAGTGTACAAAGAAAATCATTAAATACAATATGTATACAAATTATACTCTCTGTTGATTTTTTTCGAATTATGTATAAGGACCCTTTTTTTTAAATTTTTCACCTAAATTAAAAGGTTATGTTTATCTATAATGACCTCTAATTTTTTATCCTTTTTGAAATTTTAATCGATTTTTCAAATTTTTAATTTAACGGAATTTGTAATTTATTTATTTCTCCAAATGACAAAATATAAATCTTTTATTAGAAATTTGCTATAAAAATAATTATTTATAATTTTTGCAAATTCTAATTATCAGTTGAAATTTACAGAGAAACAGTGTTATTATAGTATGAAACGAATGTATGGCGCCACCATTTGGGTTACTGTAGTTGGTACGGAAGATTTTCTGCATTATGGAATTAATTTTAAAAATAATATTTAATATTGTGATCAGAATATTATTGTGTATTATTTTCTTAATATAGCTGAGTTACTTACATTGAATATTAAAATTAAAATAATTGTTTTATGTAAACTCTGCTTTACCACGCGAGGTAAGGCAAGTTTACAGCAATAAGAAGTCTCCATTAATTGACAATGCTGGCAGCACTCTCGGCATCATAAAAATCCGTTAATAATTTATAATCTGTAAAAGTTTAATATTTTTGTGATTAAAATATTTACTATAATTTTTAGATATGACATCGAGCGCATATAAAGCGGGACCTAAGCTAGTTATTTTTTTTTAATAAATAAGATTGTAAAAGTGTATTTAAAAATATTTTATTTTGATAATATAAAATTACAATATAGGAACGATGCCAATTGCTTTTCCGTCTTCTTCTTCGTGAAGAGTAAGTCCCATTTCTTTGAGAGTGCTGCTATCTACGACACCAATTTTTGTACATTCCTGTATCACTTCTTGATTTCTCTCATTTTTGCTGCATAAATTTTTTATTGCCAAAATAACCCATTGAATGATTACTAATTAAATGAATCAAGTTAAGGAAAAACCATTTTTTGAAATATATTTAATATAAGAAGCGATTAGAAAACATGTGGGCAAAATAAAATATTTATTAAGGATACAAGGATTTCTGGCGTCTATGTTGCAACAATCTAAGAGTAGAGGAATTCCTTCTTCTTCTCTAATCTAAAAGAAAAATTATTTCAATTTACTCAAAATCTATAAATAAAGTTAGAAAATAATTCAAACTTAAATGAAAATTGAAAAGAAAATTTAAAAACAAAAAACTTTATATTAAAAAGTAGGTATATCTTCAGAGCTCGAACTAGGTCCGCAAATCTTACAAAATTTTGATTATCTTCATTTTCAAAAGCCAAGTTTCCGATTAATCTGACAAGTCCGGCTTTAAAACCATAAGCAGGATGTGCCTCAAAGTCATTTTTGGATGTACTTGATCCCTGAGCATTTGGAGCGACATCACTCAATTTTTGCAGAGGTGTAAAATAATTATCCGTCTCTCTTCCCACCATGTGAATAGATTTGAGTAAATCTTTAAAATAAAAATACAGGACTAGTATCTTGTAATTTTTCATTTTTCAAATAAATTTAAAGAATAGAAAATAAATACTAACATAGACCATTTATTAGAAGACTTCTGTCCTGTCTTAAGAAACTAGAAATTGAATCATCGATTCTCGACGATAAAACACCTAAAATATCTAGAAGAATCATTACCTCCATTGGTTGCATTCCATCTAAATATGTATCGACAGTTTTAAGAATTAAATCACTTTTTCTCTTAAATTTTTCAATGATAAATTTCGTCATCTCAGTGGAAATACTTTGATACGTTTCATTCAATAAATTCTCATGAATTACTTGCAATATGTATAATTTATCATCAATTGATAAATTTTCATAAATTTGCTCAAAATTTTTTGTATTCACTATAAAATAATTAATAATTTCCAAAGCTGCATTTATTTCTAATCTTGAAGCGTGTATTAAATTCTTTAGGAATTCGCATTCTTTTGTATCGGAAATATCATTATGATGATTTGTGTTAAAAACAAAACAACAAGCTGCTCTTGCTACTGGCATGTGCTCGTGACCGATGAGAAACCTTTAAAAAAACAATATATTTTATTATATAAATTTTTTTCCATAACAAAAATTTATATTTTTATGATATATTTATATATAAACAATAATATAAATTTTTCTTATGGAAAAAATTTTACTACTTACACAATAGCATTTTTAAGTTTCTCACTGTTGAGATGTGATGGCGCCTCTTCTAAATCAGGAGCATTACTAGTTTTACACGCAAATGAAACGAAATTCGAAAGAAATTGCATACATTGCGTGAGTATTTCTAATTCTTCGTTCGTTAAACTTTCCTTATCAATTAATCCAAGCAGGTAATCAACTGCCCACTGACTAACTCCATCGAGTGGAAAATGTGTCTCAATTGGATAAGTTTTATCAATTTTCTCCATATTATTACCATCGGATAATAAATCGTAAATTTCTGTCTCATACTTGGAAATTGTTCCATCATTCAAATAGTAGGGTTTATATTTAAAATTTTTAACACAACAATTCACGAGACATTTTAAGAGGAGAATTTGTATTTTTCTTGGAATTTTAAAATTTGCATTTGTCAAAATTTTCGCCACTTTTGCCAGTAGCCTTATATCGCTATAATTGTAAAATAAAGATTCAATATTTAAAATTATTTTTTAATGAATATAATATAAAATAAATGATTTTTTATTCTAAAATTGTGAATTGTTCATTTTTAATTATAAATAATAAAGTAATAAATAACCAAAAATTAATTTGCTTAGGGCTAATAAGAAGTTCACGAAGCATGAGATAGAAAAGGAAGAAAATATAACTTTGTCCTTTTCTATCTCATGCTCCTCTTTCGAGTACCGAGTTTCTTTAGACTATCAGCGCCTCCCGTATGTGGTGACTTTCAGAAACACATATTCAACAGTAAAATTCTGACAATATTTCAAAATATTGGTTTACTCTTGAACCTGTCTTCCTCTTCATAATATTAATGAAATATTCAGAAGGTTCAGAACCGTTTTTGTTTTGCAGCCAAACAATTAAACATTCCATTTGATTATTATTTACATGATTACGATAATATACGAGAAATACTTAAAATACCAAAACCAGAAATCAAATTTTTATATAACGATCTACTTTTTTTATTCAAAATAGTCATGTTGATAAGGTGTCCATCTGGGTAATTTGTCAACTCGGTCAACTCCAACTAACAATTACCATAATATTTACATAATAATAAAAATAATAATTCATAATTACATATTTTCGTCCGAATGGAAATACTTTGGCTGTAAAAACTCTGGTATTGAGTCCCAATTGTTTGTTTTTTCACACGAACATAACCTCTCATAGACGTTGATAATTGAAACTGACATTTTTATTGTCTCTAATTACAATTCAGCAAAAAAAAAAAATATTTAAATACTCGTTACTTTATTTCCCTTATTTATTGAAAATCGTTTTTTTTCCTTTAATTAAAAAAGTCAATCATTTTAAATCAAGTATGAAAAATTCGAAAAATTAAACACAAACATTAGAAAACTTGCAACAGTTGGTAACCCTGTCACCCCTGGCATATTTTCTTTTCAACGTTTGGTAATCGTCTGAAGTGAGCCTTTGTTATAAAACCGGTTTTTGTTCTCTAAATTTTTTATTTACTATTATTTATTATCACAATTGTCATAATTTAACACAATTATCTATTATTTAGAAAATAATTAAAAAAATTCAAGTTCATTATTACTGTCGAATTTATTTTCCTGTTGTGTTTTAATTAAATTTATTTCAAAATACTTTGCACAGTTTCGATATTTTCCCGCGCTGTTGGTATTGATTTATCCGTTGGCAATTTCATACAGTATGATATAATATTTATATTCTGATTTATATGAATTTTAATTTTAGTTTACTTTTCACTAAATATATTTATCCGCTATTGAAAATCATGTTAATTCTTGTGATTCTTATAATTAATTTTCATTAAAAATTGTAGTTTTCAATTTGTGTTAATTTTTAATTCACATTTAAATATATCGAGGGAGAACGATATATATCGAAATCGAGGGAAAATCGATTATTTCGTTCTTCTCTTTTTGTTGTGTGCAAGTCGTGACTAGCGTTTATGACAAGTCGGCTTCATTTCATTTTGGTTATTTAGAAAATAAACATTTTTAAACGAGAAGAACTATCAGGGTGAGTATTCTTTTTTTCGAAAATTAGAAAAATATATGTTTTTTATAAAAATGTGTAATTATTATGTACGTTTTTGTCATGTTAAAAGAATTTTTCAAAAACATTTTGCCTTGTCATTCTCATATTGATATCTATTTTCTTTTTGTTTCGTTGGTTTTATTTCAAAAATAATTCATAAATTTATCATCGATTTCAAGAGAATTCTATAAAATTCGGAATTGTTAGTAAAAAATTGTTATTTTGCAGTTTGAATAAATTTTTATATTCATTGAAATCGAGTTTTAGAAATAGACGATCATAACCTATAAATATACGAGACGTAAAAAATGGAATAAATTTTCATTTTTTTACCTTTATTTGTTCTGTATTTTTACGTTTATTTATATTTATTTATTTATTCTTTTTTCTGTTGAAAATTTTGACACTCGAGTTAAATTAAATACTAACTTTTATTTTTAGGTTAAATTTCTAACAAAAAAAGGAATTTTTCATTATTTTTTGTTATTATTTATTTAGTTTTAAGAAAAGTAACATCAAAATATAATTTATTTCTTTAATTATTCATTTAATAATTTTAGTTTAAAAAAAAATTAATAATTTTATTTTATTTTGAAATAAATTATGATATTAAGGCCGTTTTTTGGTAAATCCTTTTATTTTGTAAATGTATAAATGTTAGTTTAAAATAAATTATTAGATTAATAATTTCAGTTTACCACAAATTGTGAAAATAATTTTATTTCAATATAAATTATTGAATTGATAATTTTAATTTAAAATAAATAATGAAATTAAGGCCGTTTTTTGTAAATAAATTTTAGTTTTAATTAAAAATTAATAATTTAATTTTAATTTAAAATAAATTATGAAACTTAGGCCGTTTTTTTCTGAGTCCGTTTATTTTTTAAATAAATAAATTATTAATTTAATAATTTTAGTTAAAAAAAATTAATACATAATTTAATTTAAATTTGAAATAAATTATGAAATTAAGGTCGTTTTTTGTAAACAAATGTTAGTTTTAAATAAAATTAATAATTTAATTTTAATTTAAAATAAATTATGAAATTAATGCCGCTTTTTGTAAATAAATGTTAGTTTTAAAAAAATTATTAATTTTGGTTAAAGATTCTTCTACATTAAATAAAAATATCGTAAATTTAAATTTAATTGAATATTGAGGTAAATGTTGAAAAAAATAGAATCAATTTTTGAATTGTTTTCCTAAAGAATTTTATTTTTTTAGATGTTTCTGACACGCTCCGAGTACGATCGTGGGGTAAATACATTTTCCCCAGAGGGACGACTCTTTCAAGTTGAATATGCAATTGAAGCGATAAAACTTGGCTCAACGGCAATTGGAATATCAACGTCCGAAGGCGTAATTTTGGCTGTTGAAAAACGTACGTCATCAATTTTAATGGAGCCAACGACTGTTGAAAAAATTGTCGAAGTCGATAAGCACATTGGCTGCGCTGTTTCTGGATTAATGGCCGATTCAAGAACAATGATTGATCGTGCACGCGTTGAATGTCAAAATCATTGGTTTATTTACGATGAAAAAATGACCGTTGAATCGGCAGCGCAAGCAGTATCAAATTTGGCTATTCAATTTGGCGATAGCGACGATGATGGCAGCGCAATGTCACGGCCATTTGGCGTTGCAATTCTTTTTGCTGGCATCGATGAAAAGGGACCGCAATTATTTCACATGGATCCATCGGGCACATTTGTTCAATTTGACGCTAAAGCTATTGGCTCGGGTAGTGAGGGCGCACAACAATCATTACAAGAAGTCTATCATAAGGTTCGAGAAAAAATTTTGCATTCTTCTTCTTCTTAAAAATTTTGTCAAAAAAGTTGTAAAAAATTATTTAAATATTTTAATTTTTTATCAAAAACAAAACCCGTTAGTTTTTGGTCGATTTTGAATTTTTAGTTTGTAAATAATTTTGCTTTCTTATTGAATTTCAGTCGATGACTTTGAAGGAGGCGGCAAAAGCGGCACTAACGATATTAAAACAAGTGATGGAGGAAAAATTGAATGACACAAATATTGAAGTGATGTCAATGACGCCGGAAAAATTGTTTCACATGTACACGAGGGATGAATTGCAAGAGGTGATTAAAGACATTGCATAAAATAATTTAAAATACAATAATTTTACAGAAAAAAATTGTGCGTCGTTAATTAATTGTGAATTATTTTCTTATTCTTCTCAAATGAGACGGGAGAAAAGAATTTTCATAAATTTCCGCGTTTCACTATAACGATTTATAAATTCTTTCTTACAATTAGATTTTCCCAAGAAAAAACCACACAGAAAAGAAATACAAAAAAAGGAAAAAGGAAATAGTTGAAATTAATTCCTTGTACCTTTTTTTTATCTTTAATCCTTTATTCCAATTCCATTTATTATTTTTCATTATAGATTGCAGATAAAACTTTGAGATTAACGATTACTTCCAATCAAATTGGAAATAAAAACAAAAAAGTTTATTTTTAACTAAGACTAATGATAAAAATTAAAATTTTTAAATTTATTACTATTTTCATTTACTGCTTACTATTTTGATTTTCGTTACTTATTTCACTTTCAATTTAAAAAAAAAAGTTTTATCTTATTTTAAAGCAAAAATATTTTTAAAAAATTTCAGGGATGCTTAGAAAGCATTGAATTGGTTAAAATAATCAGTAGAAGAAATATATCCTTAAAAAATATTCGTTTTCAAGATACTAATAGTTTTTGAATTTTTTGTCATCTAGATAATTGAATGTGTGTCGACGGTAAGAGAAGATGAAACGAGATCACGACAAAGTAGTTCTGCATCCGCCCAAAAACCTTCCACATCCATTGAAAATCATTGATGAACGAGGTGCCATTTATTCTTTTCACTCACTCATTTTTATTTTTCTTCATTAATTTAAATTTTCATTTATTCTTTTTTCTTCATTATTTTATTCGAGATTAATTTCGAATAAATTAATTCATAAGTCGAGATTAATTTTCAAATAAATCGCATTTATGATTTTTCTATAAATTATTGAATCGTATATAATTTACGATGAAAAGAATGTTTTTTTATATTAGAAAGAATCTTGAAAACCATTTTTCATGGACTTTTAAGAAACTTTTCTTTTCTAATTTTTGCAGAGAAAAATTATTTTTTATCTTAAATTCTTCATATTTTAATTTTTAAAACATAAATTTTTTTTTTTAAGTTTGACAGGAAAAAATTAATTTTCTTCTTCTGGAAATCAAAAAATAATTATAGACAAATCTTTCGAAATATTATTAATGAATAATTATTTAAAATTAATTAAATTTAATAAATTATATCTATAGTTAAAAACGTTTTGAATAATTGAAATTTTGTAAAATATAATTGAAAATTATTGTTTTTTTTTTGTATTTTATTAAAATTTTTGAATATCAACTTTTGAAGAATTTTAATTGCAAATTTTGAAAATGAATGAATTCTCCAAAAATTTCAATGAAATATCTTCAGTCTTAAAAATGAAACTTAACTTCTAAAAATTGTATTAAAATATTTTTTAAAAAGTAATTCTTGGAATTTTTCCTTCCAATTTTTCAAAATTCAATTATTTTCAATATTTTCAATGATATATTACCGAAAATTCAATTACATAGAAAAAAAAACCCTAAAATTTTTTAGAATTTTGGAGAAAATCAATAACTTTTTTGTTTTCAAAATTTTTAATTAAAATTCTTCATAAAGTTAATTACCTTTTTTTAAATTATATAAAAATTCTTTTAAAAAATTCAATTGCTTTCAAAAAGTTACATTAAAATATTTTTAAAAAACTTAATTCTTACAATAGAATTGTTCTATTGTAATTTTTTAAAGAATTTATTACTTTTGAATAAAATAATTTAAAATTCTTAAAAATGTACTTTTTTAGACTTATTAAAATTTCGGAGAAATCATGATGATGTTTTTAATTAAAATTATTAAAAAATTTCATTATTTTTTTATATTTTTAAAATTTTATTTATTTTAAAAAAACTTTTCTAAATTTCAATAGTTTTTAAAAGATTTTACCAAAATTCAAAATTATTTTAAAAAGATTTTAACAAGTTTTGAATAATTAAATTTAGAAATCAATGTTTTTTTTTAAATTTTTTATTTGAGAAAAAAATTCATACTTTATTTTTAAAATAAAATTTTCAACAATTTGGAGAAAAGAAAATTAATTTTCACTTGTAAATAATAGAAAATTATTTGCAATATTAAACTTTTAATTTGAATGATAATAATATTGAAATGATTTTTGTCACTAATCATTCGAAAGCTTACATTTCTTTCTATACAATTTTTTTTGAAGAAGTATTGAAACATTTTTGAACTATAAATATATAAAGTGAACAGCATGAATGTAAAACTGAGAAAAGATATAATATTTATTTTGTTGTTCAGTAACAAAATAAAAAAAAAAGAGTAGAGTTACTCTCGAAGGATTCAAGCATTGAATTCGTAAATGCCCTCGGAGGTGACGGTTGGTTCGCTTTTCGATTAAATGCCGACGTCTCGACACCTATCCAAAATCAATAATTAATTTCGCTGGAAAAGCGCCCGGGACGAGAGTGATGAAATGGCTGCGCCGCTGCGATGTGCCGATAAAACGTCTCCTTCATATTTTTTTTTTTTATTTTCATTCTGCGCTTCAGAGCTGAGAGATTATTGGATATTATTCCATTTCCAAGCGTTCAATCCCGCAACGATTCGCTCGCTCTGGATTCCCATGGGATAAACTCACTACCCCCCACCCATCTCTCTCACCCCCCCCCCCCAACCTTCTCTTTCTCTCATTGCACACTTTAAGCTCTCTGAATTTCGTTACCACCCAATTTATAGAATGGCTTTATATATAAATGTTTCATAGAAATCATTTTGAAATAATTTTATTTGCAAAAAAAAAAAAAAACATGAAAACGAAATTTTTAAAAACGTTACAAAATATTAGAAATAATTCATTAACAACCAAAAAAAAAATTATTTTACAAAAATAAATTTTGTACATTAATGAAAGTCTGCCATTTTGGATTTTGAAAAACTAACACAAAATTCGTAATCAGTGACTCCTAATACTTACGATTAATAAATTTTAAGAGAATTGCATTAAATTTTTAAAAAGTCTTCCGACATTATGAATTTTGCAAATCCAATATCAAATTCGTAATTAGTGAGACAAAAAATTCCCGATTATCAATTTTCAAACGAATTTATGTTTACAAAATGTCGTTCGCCATATATTGAATTCGCCATTTTGAATTTTTAAAAACTCACCTGAGATTCAAATTATAAAAATTTTTAAAACTAGTATGAAGTTAAAATTTATAACATAGATTTTTGAATTGATCTTGATAACGTCCTTATTTATTAAATATTTAAAATATTGGAAACAATCTCCAAAATTTAATTAATATTTTTGTTTTTTATAATAAATGTATTTCAATTAAAAAATACATTATATTAAACAATTTTCAAATCTGGAATGTGTAGAATGCAGATTCAGAATTGAATATTTTACAATTTTAAGATTAAATTATAATTCTACACTTTTAATTAACAATTATAATTTTATAATTTTAAATAACAGTTATAATTTTACAATTTTAATTACAAATTATAACTTTACAATTAAAGGCCTGGAACAATTTTAATTAACAATTATAATTTGACAATTACAATTATTAGTTTTCTTAAAAAGATTCTAAAATGATAAAATGAACATTATACAAAACACTATTATTGTATAATTTTTAAAATGATCAAGAATAAGAACGAAAAAGCATGAAGAAAAACAAAACATTTAAATTAAATTCTTTTCAATTCTATTATTTATAATGGACTGCTAACAACTTTGATTTTTGCTGGAATGTTGCAAAACAATATCCTGAAGGATAAAAAAATTTTATTCTAATTTTTAAATATTAGTAACCACGGCCCAAAAGTAGCAGAAGATCAAATTTTTTCATAAAAGGATGTTTAAATTAAATTCATTTCTATTTTAATAATTTTTATGGTGTGTTAACAATCTAGACTGTTGTTAGGATGTTGATGAACAACACCCTAAAAAATAAAATATTTTATTGTAACTTTTAAAAACTTTTTAATAAAAGTAACCACAGCCGGAAACTAGCAGAAGATCAAAATTGTCATAAAAAGAAGTTTAAATTAAATTCTTTTCAATTTTAATAATTTTTATGGACTGTTAACATTCTAGATTCTTGCTAGGATGTTGCTAAACAATACCCTAAAAAATAAAATATTTTATTGTAACTTTTAAAAACTTTTTAATAAAAGTAACCACAGCCGGAAACTAGCAGAAGATCACAATTGTCATAAAAAGAAGTTTAAATTAAATTCTTTTCAATTTTAATAATTTTTATGGACTGTTAACATTCTAGATTGTTGCTAGGATGTTGCTTAACAACACCCTCAAGGATAAAAAATTTTATTGTAACTTTTAAAATTTTTTTAACAAAAGTAACCACAGCCGGAAACTAGCAGAAGATCAAAATAGTCATAAAAAGAAGTTTAAATTAATTTCTTTTCAATTTTAATGTCTTTCGTGGACTGTTAATAACATTCTAAAGAGAAGATGTTTCGAAAGCATGTTGGTATTCACAAATTTTGAAGTTTTCTCAAAGGAATAGCTACTTATTTAAACTCAACAGATTTTTCAAAAAATATTACTTTCCAAATGCCCTTATTTTCACGCGGTCAGGGTGGTCTAACCCCTTAAGAAATATGTTGATTCACTTAATTCTTAATTAGAGAAAAAATTTGTCACTCTATTCTCCTTCTATGCATTTAGAAAAACTTACTGGAAAGCCAAATTTTTTGAAGTGAGAAACGGATGAGTACTTGAAGGAACTTTTTCTTTTTTTTGGTACGATAGAGAAAGATGGTGTTAGTGATGAAGATGAAGGTGGTGTTGAAGGCATATATATATATATATATATATATATATATATAGGTACATACAGCTGGAAGAAGGAGAGTCAGTAATTAACTGAACGATGAGAGGTGGGAAATACTCCCGTTTTGGAGTCCCTGAGAATCCCCGGGGATCTGACCCGTCGTATCAGACGTTAACACTCGCTCCCTCAGCCACGTTCAAGTTTCGCTACGATAATTGCCTTCCCTTTACTTGTCGCGCCAATACTCACACAGCAATGACACTAAACCACTTTAGAAACTGAGTAAAGTTTACAATTTCTATTTTTGTCGATAAATTTTTTATAAAGTTTATTTTTTATAATTCTAATTTTAATTTTCTTTTTACTTCCTAATGAATTCAATAGGGAGACTGGGAGACAAAATTTTTTCTTACTTAATGAATTCAATAGGTTAAAAAGAAATTTTTTTTTAAATTGTTTGCTATTTTGAATTTTTTTTTTTTTTGTAACATCAGCTATTATGGCTAATAAAAAAACAATAAATACTTACGTAACGTATTACAGAATATTCCGGTTATCATTTTTTATTAATGAAGACTGCTACTTTTGTGAAAGTATAAAAATAAAAATCATGAAGATTTTTGCAATGCGTGAATTATAGGATTGAATGTATATATATATATATATATATATATATATATATATATATATATATATATATATATTGAAGCTTATGTATCAAATGTTCTTTTGACTTCTTTATTATAAAGATCCATTTCCGGTTTTCTAGTCTAGACTATGTAGTGTGTAATAAGGAAGAGCGAACGTTCTCTTTATTATGTATTACGTTTTCATGTTTCCTCGAGGTAAAGTAATTTTTCATTTTATGTTAATTTTTTCTTCTAGAAAAAAAATTAGGTCAAAAAAGGTCAGATTTAAAAATTCACAATTTTCAATCGTTTTTTTTCTTTAAACAATTCTGAAAATTAAATAAGATGAACAAAAATTATTTTCTCCCTATAAAAAACAAGTGTAAATACAAAAAAATTATTATTTACTTAACTATAATGTAAATTTAAATTTTTTTAAAATTTTTATTTTTTTAACCGAAATAATCGAAATTTTACATGAAATTGAATTGTAAATAAATGGATTAATAAATTTTCAAAATGAAATTTTTCGAAAATTATTAAAAATAATTGATAAAGAAGAGTTTTAGTTAAAAATTTGTAAGAAATAAGAATTGAATTGAAAATGAGTAAAATAATTTTGAAAATGTTACAGTAACAATAATTTTTTATTTTTTGTCCGGAAAGTCCGTATTTTTAAATACTTTCACTGGTTCGAGCCCTGGTAATTGTAAAAAAGAAATTTATGAAAATTATTAATTTTTGACCCACTGTTGTGTATATAGACCAATTGTGTGTGAAATTGTTTTAGAATCTTCTAGGTGTAATTTTAAAATTATTATATTGAAAGTGTGTCAGGGACTTTCTTGCCATCGAGAACAACACTTACGCCCATGTTGAGAGATTCATTTTGCAAATTTATGAATTTTATTGGGAAATTAAATCGTCAGGTGGTCTTTATCATAACCAGGTTATGTCTTGAGTTGAAATATATCTGCGCTTTTTGTAACGGTAAACACACAATAAACTTAGTAATATAATATCGATGCGGAAACAAGTGAAAAATTGGTAAAATTATCTTCTTAATTTTACCTCATTTTCGTTGTTCTCGTTCCACGCATTGAATTTATAGGTTATGTTTTGGTTTTTCTGTGTTACATAAAAAAAAAAATTAAAAATATGAAAAAATATGAAAATTCTCATATTAATGAGGTAATTTTTTTTATAAATTATATTTATTCATTCCTGGTACGATAATTTAGAAAATAAAAAATATTCTAAATGTAAAGTGTGGCACAAATTTTTTCTATTTAATAATTCTTCGACTTTTGATGAGATGAAATTTTTTTATTTTTTGTTTTGGAATGACACATTTTTTTATGTAAAACTTCTTTTTTTACGATATCGTGTTTAATTAATTTACCGAGAGGCATAAAAAATTATTTATTTTACTTTTTGATTTTTGTAAATTAAAAATTAAAAACTATTAAGTGCGTTTTTTTCTTTCAAGAAAAAATGAGTATAACTTATTGTGTAACTCTTATGGACTTTACGAAAGGATGACACATTGGTTACACAATCTTTTTTCCGGATTTTACATATATATTTATTATTACTTTTTTTTTTAATTAAAAATTACGTGAGGTTCACTTTTATGAAAGTTTCGCAAATTATTTTTGCAATAAGTGCGGAGAAAGGTGGTTTTTAAATACAAAATGATTCTCTCAAATAGAGGAAAAGAATTTTCAATAAATATATAGTATATATATTATACAAATATATAGGAAGTTAAATAATGAATTTTGCTTTAAAAAATAATTGAATTAATAATTTATTTATATAAGGAATGAATTTAAAAAAAATGGTTTTGTTTTATAATTTTGCAAAAACTATTGTTTTTTAAACTTTTTTTTAAATTGCTTTCTTCGAACATTATTTTTTTTAAAAACTACTTTATTTTTTTTTCTACAGAAATCACTTTTTATAAAAAAAATATTAATTAAAATAATATTAATAATTATTAATGATTAATTATTAATAATTTATTTATTAATATTCAGTTAGAATTTTATTGTTTTTACAAAAAGTGGTTCAATTTTGTTTAAAAAATTTTTTTTTTATTTAACACGAAATGTAATAAATCATTTATGATTTTTTCTTTATTTAGAAAATTTTATAATAAACAACGTCCGTCGATTTCGTGGTCACGTGCACTTTATTCGCGTAATATTAAAATGAAATTAAATAAAATGAAAATGAATAGAACGACTTATACATGTATATATACTTTAAAAGGCAGCTTGCTCGCGTGTACATAAAACTTCAGAGAAAGTAATACTTTCTTGAGAAAAGTCAGCTTGTATCAAACGATTCTTAATTGCAACCTGCTACGATTAAGATTCACTTCGAATGAAAGTGTTTCCCCGGAAACATCGTGATTACCATCGATGGATGATCAATTTCTTTTTTTTTTTTTTGATCGAATGCGTTTTACTATTTTACTTTAAATATTATTACATTACGTTTTATTTTATTATTTGTAATATTATTAGTATTATTTTTATTATTATTATTATTATTAATATATTATATAACAATAATATATTATTGTTATTTTTATTGTTCTTTATTATTATTCATAATATAAAATATAAAAAATTTTATTATTATTAATTTTTTTATTACTTGATAGTAATAATAACTATTTTCAACAAAAATCAATACTGTATTGGAATTCTAATATTATTTTTTAAATATTTATTTTGAATTTATTTTAAATTTATTTTAAATTTATATGTTTATTTTAAATATTTATTATATTTTCAACAAAATGAAGAAGAAAAATTAATTAATTCCACCTTACTTGCTGGAATTCCTATCAATTTTTACAGAAAAGTGAAAAAATATTTCCTAAGTCCAGAATAGTCGCAGTCGTTAAGATGCCCTAATAGTCAAGTACATGAGTAACGTTACACGTTTGGGGTTCGATCCTCTTCGAGTTGAAAATTTTTTTCTTTTGAATCTTTAAATTTTGAAGGACGAAAATATTTTTAAAATGAAATATTCTTCTTCTATTAAATTAAAGAAGATAAAACGACAAATAATTGTAAATTTTTCTATTATATTAAAAATTCTTTTCATTAATATTAAAAATTATGATTAATTTTTTTATTTTACAATTATATATTATTAAATATTATAAATATTATCTAATCTTTACTTTAGTTTAAAATGTTTTCTGTTTACTTTTTAAATTTTATATTTTAATTTCATATTTAAATATTACATGCAATTTGTCGGCTCGTAAAAAAAATGAATAGTTTATTTTAAAGTCTTAAAAACAGATAATAATGTAAATTACTGTATATAAAAAAAAAGAAATGCAAATAATATTATTTTAACTAATTGTAAAGTATTTTACATAATAGTAATTAGTAAAAAATAATTGCATATAAATAATATTAATTAATAATAGTAATAATAATAATAATAATAATAATAATAATAATAATAATAATAATAATAATAATATTTTTGAATTTTTCATGAATTTTTAAAAATTAATAGGTATCAAAAAGTAAAGTTTATTTTTTTAGGAAGTCTATAATTTTTTTTAAACCTTAATCACAATTTTTTAAAAATTATTTAGAGCAGGTATAAGTAAAAACCAGATTTTCTTATTTTCTTATAAAATATATATTTTTTATTTTTATTTACCTACATTACAATATTTTATAAAAGTGACATGTTTTCATTTTTTTTTGTTTTTTATTTTTTTTATTTTTTATTAACGTAGCTGTTTTTTTTGTGCTTCCTGGATGCAAATTACAAAAAAAGCTAAAAAAGAAAAGAAAAATTACAAAAATGACCTGCCGAAAATTAGAAAATTCTTTGAAGCAAGTTTCACCGAGCGTAATTTGATATTAAATCTCACCATTTTATGCATATAATACATAGATGTCTTGAATTTCCTTTAACCTAATGCGAAGCAAAGTGAAATCGTCGAATACGTAAATTTTTACAATTTTATAAATATTCTTTTTGAGACATAATTTTCCTATATATAATACATTTTTTCTAGTTTTTATAGAAACTTAAAACATTCTCATTTTTTATTTTTTATTAAAATTTTTTTTAAATGATTTCTGGTACAAATTTATTTCAACACGAATTTTTGTTTCTAATACTAATTTTTTTTTTAAAGTACAGATTTTTTTAGTATACAAATAGTACAAAATTTTTTCAGTACAAATTTCTCATATATTTTTTCAATAAAAAATTTTTTTTTCTACGAATTTCTCACAAATTTTTGTTATAACATTTTATTTTATCACACATGAGTTTTTTTTTTCATTATTCAACAAAACATTAAATAACAGGATCAATATAAAATAAAACTTGAATAGAAATTTATGTTGAAAAAAAAAAATTTGTTTGTTCTTGATAATTGAGTTAATTTTTTTGAAAGTGGCAAAAAATTTAGTTTATTACTATTTTTAGTTTCTTTTTTTGTCAATAGAATCGAAAAATTTGGATGTTAAATAGTTCAAGCGGATATTCTATCCCCTTTCGTCAGGACTGAAAATAATTTACATCCGCGAATAGAAACACATATCACAAAGGTGTTTCATCTCACTTCTATCATAATTTTTTTTTTCGTAAACAATAGAAAAATTGTTTTCTAAAGTTAAATTAAAGTATCTAAATATCTGATTGTGTATCATTGGTCATCTCATGTAAGCAATGAATATTTGGCGCATGCGTCAACTGTCGGAACAAAATGGCGGTCCGACGCTCCACTTGACGAATTTAATAGAGTCGTGCGATTTTATTTATCACTGAAATTGATTTTTTTCGATAATTATCACTTCTGTGGAAGTGAACTTTTCTAATGGTAGTGAAAATTATTTATGATTGTTCTTTATTTTTGACTTTTATGTATGATTTTGATTTGAAATTTTTGCCCTCTAAATATTGATAAAATTCATATTAATTTAACTATATTTAGAGGGCAAAATAGAATATTACTTGAAATAAATTTCGCACGAACTCAATTTAATTTCGATTAAAATTAGAATTTCTTCTAGAATTGAATTTCTAAATTTTATTAACCGTGATGGGAGTATTCACCGTAACCACTGCTGGGCTCGAAACCACCAGAGTCGCCGCCATGTCCACCACCATGGCCGTATTCGTGATGAACGTGTACGGGAACATGAACCTTGACTGGATAGGGAACTGGTTTCTCAACAGGGACGGGAACCTCTTTCTCGACAATATAGGGCTTGTCGACGTGAACCTTAACTGGATAGGGAACGGGTTTTTCCACATGATAAGGAACTTGTTTGTAGACAGTGTAGGGCTTTGGAACGGGCACCTTGACATGAACTGGATATGGTTTCTCAACAGGAACTGGATAGGGTTTCTCCACTGGGACCTTGACCTCATAGGGCACGGGTTTTTCCACCGTCACCGGATAGGGCTTCTCGACAGTCACTGGATAGGGTTTGGGTACATGAACCGGATAAGGTTTATCAACAGGAACCTTCACCTCGTAGGGCACGTGTTTCTCGACAGTGTAGGGCTGGGGGACGGGAATTTTCACCTTCACTGGATAGGGCACGTGTTTCTCGACAGTGTAGGGTTGGGGTACGGGGACCTTCACGGGAATTGGAACGTGTTTCTCGACGGTGTAGGGTTGGGGTACGAGGACTTTGACCTCGTAGGGTTTGTCGACGGGGACCTTGACCTCGTAGGGCACTTTCTTCTCGACAGTGTAGGGCTGGGGCACGTGAACTGGAACCTTGACGAATACCTTGACTGGATAGGGCACATGCTTCTCGACGGTGTAGGGTTGGGGGACTTTGACCTTGACCTCGTAGGGCACATGCTTCTCGACAATGTAGGGCACGTGCTTGGTTACTTCATAGGGCACTGGAACTTTTTTTTCTACGGTGACGGTCTTCACGTGTTCATGATGATCGTATGATGCGTGCGCATCGTCACCCCCACCACCGTCGCTGAAGCCGCCGCCGCCACCACCGAAATCACCATAGGAATGACTCAAGCCACGTTTATCTGTTTTTCGTTCGACATTTGATTCGGACAATTTTTTTTGATCCTCCGAGGAACTGACCAGACTGACCAGGGCCAGGAGGACGATGTGAATCTGTGGAGGAAAAAAATTAAAAAGGTATTGTTATTAAATTATTATTAAAAGGTATTGTTAATGTTTCTCTAATTCTCTGTTTTGTGCTGATTTTTTATTCATTTTTATTAGTAAACTGATTAAATTAGTTAATCTAATTAAATTAAACTATTTTAACTAATTAAAGTAGTAAATATGAAATATTATTAAATAAATATTCTATTGCATATTATTTAATAAATAAAAGTCCTTTCAGTTATTCGAAATAAATTTATTTTATTTTCGTGAAGTAGAATTATTTATTTATAACAAATAATAAAACTAACTTTTTGTTTATATTAAGAAAATTATCGCAATAGTAACTAGTTTGTGTAGTTTCTAAAGTGAGGCTCCTGTGCAAGGAGTGGGGGTAGAGGTCTATGATTGGCTTTAACGTGACCTTGACGCTGCGCGCGCATTTCTCAATTTTATTTAGTCAACGGTTGCTATACAACATTATTATCATTATTACAATTAATATTATTATCATTATCATTATTACAATTATTATTATTATTATTGTTCCATAGTTTAGGCCAAAAAAAATAATATAAATTATTATTATTATTTTTTTTTATTTACACATCGAGATGTTTTTATTATTAATAAGATTAATATTAATAACTGGTAAGTAATTCATAATTTAAAAATACACGCTAAAAATAAAAATAGTTTTAAAAAGTCCTCCTCTTTTTAATGTGTCACACACATTTAATTTAATTTCTACATATTTCAAATTAAAGTTGTTATTTATTATGAAATCTTACACGAAGTAATAAAAGTCATTATTTTTGAAAAAAAGAAATTTAATGTGTGACGTAAGATTGTGAATCAATTTTATCACTCTCTTCTTATGTAAATAAATTTTAATTACTCGCAATTGTAATTAAAGAGTTAAAATCAGGAAATGTTTAACACGGAAGTCAAGTCTATATCTGATGCATTTGTTAAAATTGTGAGTGGATTTGAATTTTCGTTTGCTATACATATGTAGTGTTTTGCTAATTATCTTTCAATGAATTAATTAGTTAAGTAATTATTCTTTCACTTTTTATTAGTTAATAGTTATTCATTATTTTCAATTAATTTGTAATCAAATAGAAATTAGTAATTAGAAATACATTAATAATTTGTGATTACGAATTTTAAATTCATGATTAATTAATTATTACTTAATAATTATAAATAAATAAGTACAGGCTCCAAAAGAAGGGTTACGGGTTTTAGTGGGTCGGGCTGGTAGTAGGTCGCCAGTTTGTTAAATTTATTATAACATTTATTTATTTTTCTTTTTTTTATATTTCTTTTTGTTTTTTTTTATCATACCAACCCCACATAACCTTGGAGTGCGGAATCCAAGGTATCTGTAGGCAGATTTCCCAAAAGTCCCTAAGCAAAAAAAAAAAAAAAAAAAAAAATAATAATAGATAATAATAATAATAAAATAATAATAATAATAATAATAATAATAATAATAATAATAATAACAAAAATCATAATTATTGATTAATAATTAAAAAGTCGGCAGTGAATGTAAATAAGGAAAATAATTAATTTGATAAATAATAAAACAATCAATTAGTTAAATAATTATCTACTTTACAATCTAAATTGAAAAATATTTGAATCAGATTTTTGAGAATTTTTTTTTTAAATTAGAAATAATAATAATCATTTTGTAACAGACAAAAAAATGATATGGTAATAAATAATGACAATAATAAGGATAATTAAGATAATAATGGAAAATTTGATCTGCATATACAATTAGTAATTAATGGAAAACTTTCCCATCTAGTGAAAGTTAATCATTAATTAAAGTAATTATTTGAGAAATAAAAAGTCAATAGTTCCTGAAATGTAGTTTTATATTTTATGAAAAAAATTTTTTTTTTTTAATTTATTGGAACACAAGAATAAATCGTGTGAAACAAATTTGTTATGAAATTTTTTGATTATATTATAATGTTTTCAGTTCAGTTATTCAATTTTCTTAGTTTTCGAGATCTGGTGAAAAATTTAATATTTTTATTATATAGATATTGTCATTATTATTTTTTATTAATATTATTATTATTATTATTATTATTATTATTATTATTATTATTATTATTATTATTATTATTATTATTATTATTATTATTCTGTTTATTATTTAAATATTTTTGAAAGCAATAAATATTTTAATAAAAGGTGTTTAGTTATTTATTATTATTATTTATTACTTATTAATTTATTTATTGTCAACGGACTTATAAAAAGAAAATAAATCTTTTTATAATTTTTATGAATTTGTTACAATTTATTATTAACTAGTTATTACAATTTTATTAGAGGTAATAATATGTAAATAATAATTATTATTAAATTTATTATTATTATTATATAAACCATTATTATTATTAATTATTATTTTACATATTATTATTATTATTGGTTACGATGACGTAACAAATTTATAAACAAAATAATATTTCTATTTACAATTTATTATCTGTGGTCATTTATTTAAAAATTCATTATTTCAATTTAATTTAAAAATAAATGGTCAAGTAATAAATTATTATATTGTTTTATATAATTTTTGAAGAAACGTATTATTAACTTTAAGTATTATTTATAGTATAATCCTTTTTATTTAAAAAATAACAATATCTATTAATAACAATTGTAATATTTAAAAATTGTTTTTCCAATTAAAAGTTGAAAAAGTACATAATTTTCAATATTTGATTTAAAAATTAGTTTACAATTTTTCGACTGATTCAAAAATCACTTATGAAAATTAGTTATTTTAAAATAATATTTTAATATTATTATTTAATAGTTTTGTTTATTTATTTAATGTCTCGCAGTCCATTAGGTCCATGAGTCAAAATTATAAATTATAAATTTTATTTATAATCATTTAATATTTTGAAGATTAATTAATATAATATTTTAAAAATTATAGATTAAAATATAGATTAATTTATTTGTAGTAAAAAGATTTGATTTTGTCACTTTATGTATGTTTGTTATTCGGTAAAGGAAGTAATGATAAAATAATGAAATAAAAAAAAATTGAAATATTGTAAAAGCGGAAATGGAATCGCGAAAGTAATTTTCTCCGCGCACTGTGGACACCTCTCATAGTGGGCGCGCACGATACATATAGATATATATATATATATTTTTTGCGGAAGTGAATCTTTTTTTTTCTTGTCAACTTGCGTAGTAGTTGCGATCACATAACAAAATAACACTGGACTTACCTTAAAATACATTGTACAGCTCGCACGTGTTTTAGCGTGGCATTCAACCACAAACTGAACCGCTACCTTTTCTAGTTACAGCTTTATATACTCCAGGGTATAATAACCCGACACTTTCCCTGCACCTCGTCGCTCATATTATGGTCGAATGTGCGTTTCCTTTGCATTTGGACAAAAAAAAAAGATAGAGAAAGAAATGATACTAATAATATAATGATAATGATAATAATAATAATAATATGTAAAAATATAAAATTCCTACATAGATTACTCTTTTCTTTCATAATTATTCTAAACTGTTCTTAAATTTTTAATTTTAAGAAAAATATAGTTATTTATATATATTTTTATTATTTTATATATATATATATATATATATATAGCAATGACAAAACACATGGAGGTAATATTCAAAATTATTCCTGTTTCTATTCGAAGTAAAGCGCGCGACTCCAGAGTATTATATCAAAGCACTTCCGGATTGTGAACGGGCGAAAGTTTCGGTTAAGGAAGTCGATCAGACCTATTTCGATACAGGGCAAGTTTTTTTTTATCTTTCATTTTTATTATATGAAGTTTTCAATTTCCCGATAACTCAATGTCATTTCTAGTTTCATTGCGCGTGTGTTGAATTCTTTTTCATTTATTTATTAAATATTTATTATACTAATTTAGTTGTTGGCTTAGAAAACAAGAATAGATCATAAAAATCTTCGACTAATAATTTTTCAGCCAATTTTTGTGATTTAAGAAAACTTTTCTTCAAAATAAGATCCGCCATTTTGTATTTTGAAAAAACTATCAAATTCGTAATTGGCGACCCCAAAAACCCCCGAGTAACAAGTTTCAAGCATTTTTATTAATTTTGTTGAATATTCATCCGCCATATTGGATTCGCCATTTTTTATTTTTACAAACTATTTTCAAATTCGTTATTAGCGACCCCAAAAACCCCCGAGTAACATGTATCAGGCGAAATTAGTCACTTTTAAAAAATATGTCCTCCATATTTGATCCGCCATTTTGAATTTCAAGAAACTTACATTAAATACGTAATTAGCATCCTCAACAACCCCCGAGTAACAAGTTTCAAGCGAAATTAGTCACTTTCGAAAGCTATGTCCGCCATATTGGATTCGCCATTTTGAATTTCTAAAAACTACCATCAAATTCGTTATCAGCAATCTTAAAAGCCCCTGAGTCAGGTGTTGAGGCGAAATTAGTCACTTTTAAAAAATATTTTATCCATATTTTTGAAAAAGTTCAATTGGATTTTTTTTATATTTTTTGAAGTTTTTATTTTCTAATATTTTTTTAATTGAAGAATTTACAAATAATGGAAATTTCGTAAAATTGAATATTGTAAAGAAATGGATTTGAAAATTGTCAAAGAACTTTTTCGAAAATTAATTGCTTTAAAGAAGAATTTTAGTTAAATTCTTGAAAATAATAATTGAATTAAAATGATGGGAATTATATTCCGTTTGTTTGTAATAATGTAGCTTGATAATGAATAAAATAAATTTGGTGTCAGGCGTTAATGGGATGCATTATATATCATTATTATATTATATTATTATATTTCATTATATTACATAACTATATACTAAGAACAGACTGTTTATGAATGCTCCAGTTGTCAAAAAAGAATCGTATATACGTAAGTAGGATATAGTATATATATATATATACCTCTCACGATAAAGATCATTGAATTGAAATAATAGATTCCGTTGGAGAGGTCTTTTATCGAAAACTTTCATCAAATATGTGTGAGTGTATTTTCAATGAATAAAGACGTGGTTATTTAGGAAAATAATATAATCACATATCACAATGTGATTATTCATTTTCTCAATGACACTTTCACACCTTCACCGCAAAAAAATGAGACAAAATAGAGTTATATACTTTCTTTTTCAATTGTACATTTAATGTGATATGCTGTGGATATATATATATATATTACTTTCATGATGGAATATTAAAGGAAACGTTTTTGAAATAAAAAAAAATTGTCTCTTGATGTGTGAAAATGATAGTGTTGTTCTTTCCATAACAAATGTCTAATGAACGTGGACAACAGGTAATTTACATTGAAAAAGTCTATTATTACTTTTTTAAAGAAAATTACACTCCTCATGATTCGTGGATTATAAATTCAAGCTGTATGTGATATTTTGAAATTAATGTCTTTGAAAAAAGAACTTACTTTAGTCTCGAGTATAGTTTAATTATTATGTATTAATGAATTGGTTATTATTAAATTATTTAATATACGGGCAATAAAATGTTTTATTTGTACGAAAGTACTTATGAAGATGTAACTAACGTTATTACTTAAAAATAAACTTGGGGACATAGGCTGCATTGCTTTTAACAAATATTTATTGATGCGGAATATTTTGCAATTATCCTTTTGGAGTCGAAAAAGGTTTACTATTTATTTTATTATGTCACGAAACATTAAAAATATAAAACAAATTTTTTCAGGAACAGAATGGGCCATTCGTAAATTACCATGTGACGCAGAAGGCGACAGAGGGGACATTGAGAGAGACGTTCAGTAAGTGACAAACCTTCATCGGAGTAACACTGATTACTTCAGAGGCTCTTCATTTAAAAAGTATTTGTAATTTATACAATCGAATTTTATTTTAAACACAAAGAATGTATATGCAGAATTTTAGAAATTCTTAACAATCTAATAATTTCTTGTCACTTCAAGGAACCCAGGTGAGATTTTGTCAATTTTATTAGTGCCAAACTGTCAAAAAGGTACAGAAAGGCACTCAAGTCAGTCAATTAAAATGTTTTTGTAATTTATACAATCGAATTAAAAATTGAATAATTTGCACCAATTCAAAAAATATACTAATCTGTGGAAGACTGTAAACAGAGCATCAGTTACTGGTTTCACTTTCCTTTGGAATTATAATTTTTCTTATTCAGTATTCAAGAAACCGTCAGAGGAGAACTTTTTTTTACTGAAGGCACTCACCAATTAAATATTATTAGTAATTTACACAATCGAAATTTATCCAGTCAAATTCAGTATAATAATACAAGATTAGAACCGTATACTTTCCCTCAGTATTATAAGTATTCTGCGAGTAAAGATTGGGAGATTAGATTTTTATTTTTGTTCGCAATTTTGTACTTAATTATTTCAAAATACTTTTCATCTGAGACATTCAAAAACAAGTGAACATTTAAAAATTAATAAATTTTTCCCAAACTCAGGTACCTGTTCATAAACATTTTCTAATTCTCAATGCGGATAACAAAAATTCAAATTTTTAAAAATTCTCATCAAAATTTCAATTATCTTTAGAAATAATTAAATTCTTCTCCGAAATTCAATTATTTTCAATATCTACGATTTTTATAAAATTTTCCAAAATAATTCAATTATTTAAAAAAAAAAAATTTAATAACGTTCTACACAAACTTTTAATTATTTTCAAAAAATAATAAAAATTTCACAAGAGCTTCGTTATTTACAAATTTTTTAAATAAATTTCTTCGCAATCATTCAATTATTTTCATAAATAATAAAAGTTTTACGGAGATACAATTATTTTCATAAATGAAATTCTTTTTAGGAATTGAATAATTTTCATAAATAATCAAACTCATTGCAGAATTTCAATTATTTTTAATAATTCTTTTCTTATAAAGAATTGTATCAAAATTCTTAAGAATAATAATTGAATTCTTTCGAAAAATTTTATTAAAATTTTAAAAATAATTAAATTTTATAGAAATATTTTTTTAAAAATTGTATTAAAAATAATTGAATTTGTATCAAAAAGTTTTATTAAAAGTTTTGAAAATATTTGAATTTCTAGTAAAATTTTGATATTTTTGAAAATAATTGAATTCCGGCGAAGAATTTTATTAAGATTTTCAAAAATATTTGAATTCCTGCAAAGATTTTGATTTTTAATTTATGCTAAGAATTGTATTAAAATTTTTAAAAACAATTAAATTTCTGGGAATTTTAATTGAATTCCTCGAAAAATGTAATTATTCTTAAAAATTTTATTAAAATTCGTCGAAAGAATTCAATTATTTCAAAATTTGTTGATAAAATTCTTTATAAGAATTAAATTTTGAGAAACGTTCAGTTATTAAATGAATTATTTATTTTTATATTTAAATAATTGATATTTTCGTAGAATTTTCTCATAAACATTGATTTAAAAATGTATTTCAGTTAAAATTTTAGATTATAATTGAATTTTAAAAGCATTAGAGCGTAAATTTTTAGAAATATTTGAATTTTGAAAAGGCTTCAATAATTATAATCTTTAAAAATATGAATTTTTCATATTTTTAACTAACAATTCTGTGGAATTAATTTTTTTTCAGAAACTTTAATTGCGGATTATTTTTAAAATTATTAATAATAAATTTAAAAGAAAAAAAAATTGTAAAGTTGACATAAAAATGAATAAATACTTTATCCATCCTGGAAAGTAAATTATGTATGTAGTTTTAAAAAATACTGCTAATGGAATGCAAAGTAGTCATTAGAGAAAAATGATGTTGAGCTGATCTGATGTACTCTTCTTTCATGTTTCGCGATTCGCATAAATTTTGCAGTTGACGAATTCTCTCTATCTGTGGTCGAAGATTGGGTAGGATATTAGTGAATTTTCTTTGTGCGATGGGACGATTTCTTTCGTTGGTTTGGCATTATCTCTTAAATTATGACATTCTACGATCGTCGATGCCATAAATAATCCGTACGATTGGCGAACGACATAATGCTGGTTCCGGCACTGATTATTATACGACTATACACTCCTTCTGGAGATGATGCTCGGGGCAAAGCGATTAGTCGATAAAAAACGTTACCATGTATCTTGAGTCGGTATCAAAATGGGACTTGTGCATGCGACGATATTAACATGCTCGATCGCATTAGGTATTCCGCATGCGAACTTATAGGACAAGGGGCACGAGCACGGTTCTCTTTTAATATAATGCTAATAATGCTTGCACTTGAAATGGCAATTATGCACGCAGACACGTAATATAAACTCGCACTCAATGCCGAGAATTATTCTTTGTTTATCAGTAGAATAG